ATAGGGCCCGAGACCGCTGCTGCAACTGCATGCACAGATGACTCAACTAAAGGTTCAACACTTTGTCAGGGCCGTCTCTGATGCCGAAGTGTTTCGCGAAGCGCAAATATAATACAAGAAGAAGGGTTCGCAGGACCGGCTCGGCAAACGGAAAAAATGCATCCCTTAATCTTCCCTGGTGCTCATCGTCGTTTTCCTTACGTACGCCTCCATCGACACATAACCGTGCAACACCACTTTGTATTGCCCTGAATACTTCCCGGTTGATCCAAGAACAGCGTGTTCCCGTTGCCATCGCCGCATTTACCACATGATCTGTTGACGCACTGGACTCCTGGGGCTTCAGATGAGAATTGGGTCGGACGCCAACCTAGAAGCTGCAGCAGAGCGGCCCCGCAGCCGCAGTCCCAAGTGCTCGTGCCCCCCCCGCAGCAAAGACGACGGGGCAGCCGGGTGCCGCGGGCGAAAACGCGACCAATGGATCGCAACATGAGCGCTGCGGCGACGAGCGCGCAGACCCCCAACCGACCCTGCGCGCGCATCGTTGGCCGCGAGGGTCGCCGAGAAAAAGATGCCAAAACGTCCACGCGCATCGATCCCGCGCGCTAGCGCGCGAAGAAGCGCGAATAGAGCTTCTGCAGCGGAAACGCGCGCCGACGGCGCTCGTCAGGTGCAACGACCAACTGCCGTCTAGCAGATCGAATGCCCGCGCCCACACCCCACTTGCCATTCGCATGGGCGGCAGCTCAAGAGGAGGAGAGGGGGAGGAGGAGGAGGAGGAGGAGGAGGAGGAGGAGGAGGAGGAGGAGGAGGAGGAGGAGGAGGAGCAGAAAGAGAAGGAGGAGGAGGAGGCGCACGCGCGCCGACGGCGCTCGTCAGGCGAAGGACCAGCTGCCGTCGGACAGATCGAGCGCCCCCGCTCAAACTCCAGTTTCCATTCGCCCGGGCGGCTCAAGTGGAGGAGCGCGCGCGAACAGGGCCTCAGAGGCGGCCCGAGCACGCGCGCCACTGCGCCATTGGTCCCCACCGCCGCGCATTGCACCTGGCCCAAGCTCGCCGCCCCAGCTCACGGCCCAAGCTGGCGGTGCGCGCGCGCCGCCAGGTTCTGCGCAGACGGGTTGGAAACCGAGTACAATCCCGCGCGTGAGAAGTTACTAATGATATGACCCAGCGGCACGGCGGCCTATTCTCGTTGTGATGCGGCCCCGCTGCGACCGCGCAGCGAGACCGACCGCTCCGCGGTAGACGTGGCCACCCAGCGCGCATCCATCACTGAAGCTCCCGTGCGCGATGGCCGCGCAGATGCGCCCATCGAGCGCGCGCGCCCGTCGCTTCACTTGCCCGCCATTTCAATTGTGCGCGCGAGAAAATTCTGCGAATGGCAGATTACTGTTGCGGCCTTGCACCCAGGCGGTAAGGCCCACTCAACATACGCGGCGGCATGTCCGCCCCATTCCATTGGTTAGCTGTGTCGTCCGTAGACAGACTGCCAGCACTCAGGCGGCAAGGCCAACGAATAACAACGAGGCGGCAGTTCCTCTCCACCCCATCGATTAGCTCTGTCGTTTGTAATCGGGCTGCTGCAGCACCCAGGCTGCAAGGCCCACGAATGACACGAGGCGGCAGCCCCCCCCCAGCCCCGTCTGCACGCGGGCTGCTGTCTTACCTGCGGCAGCTCCTCCTACTCGAGGCTGCCGCCGCGCCAGGGGGGCAGGCTGCCGGGCAGGCCCACTTCTGGCATGAGGCGACAGCTCCCCCCTACCACCCGTGAGTTCTGCGCTCATCCTCGGCCGAACAACCATCCTCGTACAACATCAGGAAATCAGAGCGCCTGCCCCGAGCATCGCGACTCAAGCACTGCTGCCATGCCCTCTGGGCGCCAGGAGAGCGCGCAAGACCTGGACTGCCCGCCACGCGGTGTGGACGCCCACGAGGAGCATGCGCGCCAGACTTTCCCAGCTGCCGAACGATGCTCTGCTTCAGACGCGCCCGCAAGCATGCTGCCCAAATGGAGGAGCAGCGCGACCTTCAGCACCCTCTCCACGATGTCCACGGCAGTCACGCGCGGCAGCTGGCCAGGAAGCACGCCAAGCGCACCGTCTACAACCTAGCGCCCGCATTCGCGCGCGCCCTCGGGGCTGCGAAGAGCGCCCAGCGCCCGAGGCCCCAACGCCACGCCGCGTGATCGACCAGCGCAAACTTCCACACGCAGAGATATCACAGCGGCTCCAGCAAGGGCTGGGCACTGATGCCGATCCACCAGCCCTCAGCGCTAAATTCCTCGAGCTTTTTGGCGGGAAGCTCGATGGCGGGAGCTTTTTGGCGCTGCAGAAACGGGCGCGCCTTGACCACTACGCGAAGCACAAGTGTTACCATCAGCCAGCTTTGCACAGCCAGCAAGGGGAGCGATCCCCCGCCCGCAGATCTCGAAGAGAAGTTCCAGAAGGTCTCAGACCAAGACGCGCCGCGCCGATGGCGCGAGTACGGCAAGGCACTGGCCCCCGACGCGCCCCTCGGCGAGCGGCTCTGCGGCAAGGCCTGCCAGGCAGCCGGGAGAACCATCGTCTCCAACAGCTACTGCCCGCCGCTCTTGAAGCTGCCTGGAGAAGGCCCGCTGGAGGTGCTGCGGCAGATGACTGGCGATGACCCTGACCTGCCTCCCATTGTCGCTGCACGCAGCAGAACGGCGCCGACCTCGAGCTCTTCGCCGAATGCGCACCCGATGTTTCGGAGGCGCGCGCCTGGGGGAAGAAGGCGAACTCTCCGCCCGGTGCTCTTACCCAGTTCCAACGGCGTGGGGCGCCCCTCCTGGCGCGGCGCTCCGCGACGAAGTCTCGCGGGCAAGGCTTGTAGACGCAGCGCAGAGTGCGGGAACAAGATGGCGCTGGGCGCGCCCAAAATAGAGGTCAAAAAATCCACCCCCATAATAACCACCCCGACACGCGAAGTCGTTTAGCAAACGCGCCCAAGGAAGAGATCAAACAGGGAAGGGCTGTTTAGTAAACGGCCAGGGCCGTTTAGTAAACGCCGATTGTCCGGTCTGGGTGGTTTTTCCTCCCTTCACAAGAGGCTCGAAGAGACCGAGCTGGGCAAGAGGCAGCAAGCGCAACGCCGAGAGTTTGACTTTGGCCCCGGACATCTGGGGCTTCCACGCCGGGCGCGACCCAGACCATGCTCACCAGGATGTAGGGAGCCCACGAAGGACGTACGCGCCCAACCATGTAAATGAACACGGCCCCTCGATCCGCGAGACTGGACACGTGATACGAACACTCGCGTTTTGGACACTCTCGAAGCCAACGTGGAGTCATGTACGTGTACGTCTTTCATCGTTCTTCTGCCGATCCTGCAAGATGGGGCGCCGCCACGGCGAGGTCGGCGTCGCCCAGGATGGTGCTCCGGCTCCAGCCCATGGAGGAAGGGCCCGCACGGGGAGCGGGCGTCTGCAGCTGGGGGCCAGCGCGCCTCCACCCCGTGGCGCACAACGGCGCCGAGGATGGCCCGCGCCCCGTGCGCGAGACAGAAGAAGGAGATGGAGCGCCTGCGAGTGGGAAAGGACAGCATGCAGCAGGAGCCCGATCACAAGACGCGCTCCACAAGAAGCCCAACCCTCAGACCCCGGGACGTCCAGGGACTCTTGGCATGGGAACGTCACGCTTTCCACAGCAGAACCCTCGGAACCGAGGAAACCCAGGGCACCCTGGAGGCAAGCGGAGTGCTTCTTGGCATGGGTCTCCACTGCAGGCCTCGTGCGCTGCAGAGAGCATCGCGCGGAAGCGGCATCGTGCGCTGCGAGAGCAGGATCGGGGCCTTTCGCGAAGGGCGGTGCCATTTCCGGAGGGCGAGCCTCGAGGCCACAGCAGAGGCGGTGGAGCTGCCGGTTGCAAGAGCGGTACGGTATCTCAACTTGAACGCAAAGTGTTTGCTTCGAGAGCGTGCGCAGCCCGCCCCGACCTTGCGCGCGCGTCGTGAGCCGCGTGTGGCGCATCCAAAAAGTGTCTGCGTGCGTCTACCCACGCATGGCTGAGCAAATGGCGCGGACACCACGACCACCTCTCATGATACCCAGCCCCTGTGACAAAGTTCCTTGAGATACCTGTGACACCAAGTCGTAATGCCCCCAGCCCTTGTGATACCAACCCTTTGCAACACTTGCCCCTTATGATACCGGCCCCCTATGATGTGTGCCAAGCCCTTCTGACACCGCACCCATGCGGCACTAAACCCTTTATGCTACCAAGCGCTTGTGACATCCGGCCAACCCCTCTATGATACTTGGTCCTTGTGGTACCGCCCCTCTGTGATGCCAAGCGGTTTGTCATAACAAGCGTTTGTGATGCATGGCCCGTGTGATGCAGCTCCCTGGTGATACCTGGCCCTTACGATATCTTACAATACCAAACATTTGTGATTCCAAACTCTTGCAATGCCAGCCCCTTATGTTACCTGGCCCTTGTGATACCACCCCTGGTGGTGCCAAGCGCTCGTGATACCTGGCCCTCGTGATACCCGCCCCTTGTGATACATGGCTCTGTTGTTGCCGCGCCCTTCTGATGCGTGACCCTAGTGATACCAAGGCCAGGGATACCAGCCCCTTGTGTTCCTGGCCTGTGTGGTACCGTCCCTTGTGATGCCAAGCGTGTATCATGTGTGGCCCGTGTGAGACCCGCCCCGCTTGATACGTGGCTCTTGTGGTGCAACGCCCTTGCCACCCCTGTAGTACCAAGCCCGTGTGGTACCATCCCCTTGTGATACCAAGCGCGCGTGATATATTCCCCTTGCTATACCAGCCCCACGCCTGGACGACCAAAGATAGCACCAATACGACCCAAGAGGGCATCAAGAGGGCCCCGAAAGGGCCCCAAGAGGGTAGCCCCCGTGAGAACCTTTCAAGGAATCCAGGCCGCCTCACGTCGCGCAACGAGCCCCACGATGCGCCACGGGCGATCAAATTCGCGCCCTCGCGCCCTCGCGCCGCTCTGGCCCAGACCCCGTCGCGC